AAGATCAAAGATAGCAACCCCCGACTTAAGCAGAATATCCCAGCGAGGGATCTCCGAGGAGCCAGGGAACTGAGCGCGCCAGGCGTCAGTCAGGCGACCGAAGCAGCATGGTGTGGTGTGCGGGCCTCCGCACGGCTCACCACGGCGGTCGCCGGTGCGAAGAACGTAGGTGCAGGGACCAGCACCCCCAGACCCCCCACGCCCAGCGTACCACTCACGAAGCTGCTGAGGCGACGGGGTCTCACCGGAGCGCTGCTGCTGCTGGCGCTGGCCACCGCCAGGGCCTCCCCGCTGCCCACCACCACCCCCGCCACTCTCACCTCCTCCGCCGCCACCGCTACCTCCACCCCCACTCCCGCTGCCTCCGCCGCCTCCACCTCCACCGCCGCCTAAGCCCCCAGTCCCGCCACCACTCCCACCTCCACCGCCACCCCCTCCTCCCCCTCCACCACCACTGCCGCCGCCCCCACCGCCCCCTCCACCCCCCTTGCCCCACTTGCCCTTGCCGTTGCGGCGCTTGCCACTAGGGGCAGACGCAGCGCCGACCGACTCCGTGCCAACGAGGTCGACAGCAGCAGCAGAGGCAACAGAGGGCAAGAGGGGAGAGGGGGAGCACCCCTCAAAGAAAGGGGCACGGGGGTCACCACGAGAGGCCCCTACAGCAACTATACTCTTCTCAGCTGCAAGGAGGCGCTCCTCGAGGAGGTCAACAGTGAGTGTGGTGGGGCAAAGCGAGAGGAAGTGGTCCCTGACCGAGCAAAGGGATTCAGGGAGCCGGGTGACGAGGTAATAGAGAGTGATGTACATAGGGGGGGGGTTCTTGGCGCAGAACTCGGCAGGAAGCGCAGCGCGGTAGCGGGTGTCACTAGTGCGGAGGTGAGTAATGAGGTCAGCGACTGTGGCAAAAGCGGCTAGGTCAGGGAACAGGTACGGCAGCATGAGGCGGCTAAGGGCAGCAGTGGCAGGGGAGGAGTAGCGCGCGACAACAGCAGTGTACAGGGTGCTAGCACTCTTGTACTGACTAAAGTGCGCGCGCTCAGAAGACGGCAGGTGACTACGCACAGCAAGGCGAGCAGCAGCATCGCGGGTGGTCCAGACAGAACGAACAGTGCTAGTAGCATCAGCAGCAGGGGCAGGGGAGGCACCAGACGTGAGATCGAACAGAGAGAGGCCTTCTTTGCTATCGCACTGCAGGAACAGCTGCAGATCATCGATCCAGACCTCAAAGTCTACCGCTCGACCCTCAGCATCAAAAGAAAGAACGTTGGGACTAGCCATGACAACAGTAGCAGCAGGCTAGCAGCAGCAGCAGCAGAAGCAGGCTAGCAGTAGTAGCAGCAGGAGGGGCGCGGCTCGGCTGTGCGCTTACCAGGGGCGGGTGGGTAACAACCCGCAAGTGGTGGGGCAGGGCCGAGGTGCGTCAGTAGGGCCGCAAAAGGGCGGCAGGGCAGGGCCGGGACTCGGCTGCAGGGCAGGGCCGGGACGGCGGGGGCGGCTGTCACGGTAGTGGCGGCGGCGGCGGTCTCAGCAGGAGCGGCGGCGGCTTGTGACGACCGCAGCGGCGGCGGCTGTCACAGCAGTAGCGGCGGCGGCGATCACGGCAGTAGCGGCGGCGGCAGCAGGCGTGACGGCAGTTGCTGCCGGGGCGGCGGCGACAGGGCGGCTGCGGCGGGTCGCGAAGATCCGCGGAGGGGCCGCGAAGAGCCGTGGAGGGGCCGTGAAGGGGGGGGGCGCGAAGGGCCGCGAAGTGCCGCGAAGAGGCCGCGAAGGGCCGAGAGAGGGCCGCGAAGGGCCGCGAAGGGGCCGCGAAGGGCCGAGCGGGGGGGGCGCAAAGGGCCACGAAGGGGCCGCGAAGGCCGCGAAGGGGCCGCGAAGGCCTCGAAGGGGCCGCGAAGGGCCGTGAGAGGGGGCCGCGAGGGGCCTTAAGAGGGGCCGCGAGGGGCCGCTAAGGGGTCGCGACCGGGACCACTAAGGGGCGGGGGGGTCGCGAAGTTTTAGGGCAGGACGCGAAGCGCGTTTAGGGCAGGAAAAAAAAATTCAAATGGTGGGCCCAAGGAAGAAACCGTCCCACGAGGGAACCAGCTCCATACCATGTGAAGAAATGAGGAATGATGAAACTAGGAAAATGTGTGATACAAATATGAAACCCTAGAAACCTGTACCCCTTAGTGTCTACCCCACTAGAGCCTACAAACACTATGTCATATATATCTGACAGGAAGTCGTGTCTCATGCTTGACGTAGAATCCGTTATTAATCCCTGTCGTACACATGTGTTGTGCGCAGAAACTGTCAAGAAACCAGACACCCGGACCGTATTTGGCGGTAGCTGCGACACTGGCGTACTGTGGATTGACTGGAAGATTCGTCGGCACTGCTTCTGGGACTTCATCTGGAGCGAAAGTTGGAGGTGAGCCTGGGATGCACGAGTCTGTGCGAGTCATACAGGCAAACAATTTTCTCCCCTTTGCTGGTACTGATGTGGTCTGTGTTTTACTTTGTGCAGCTGATGCAGCAGCGGCTGCAACCTGTGGAGAAGCAGCAGCTGGGCGGTGAGGAGTCGACTGTTGGCGCTGAGGACAGTGATCACGAGAATGACCGGAGGTTTTGCAGATGTGACAAAACAGTGGTACGTAATACTGCTGCTGCTGCTTTGGCTGCTGTTGTCGTTGCTTCTGCTGCTGTTGACATTGCTTTTGTCGTTGTTGTTTAGGCGGCACTTGACTGTGTGCTATGAAAGCGAACTGATTTATCTTCTTGTTGCCTTTGCTGTCGTACAGATCCATATCTTGCTGTTCGGCAAGGAGTGTTGCGCAGAGGTGCATCTCCGAAACATTCCCTTGAGTACGGAGAAGAGAGCGTGTATTACGCCACTGAGGTCCATGTCCGGCGATGACAACTGTCACAAACATCGACTCAGGGAAGCTTCCTCCACTTCGATTAAGCTGATCACGCAGCTCTCTGCACCGGTTGATGTATTGCACCGCATGCTCTCCTGCCTTCATCTACACATTGTTCAACTGTGACATAAGTCTGCTCTGTGTTACACAGTCTGTTGCTTGATAAAGCCGCTTCAGATGTTGCCATGCCTTGCTGTTCAGTGAGTGTCAGGTTGCGCAGAAGAATGGTGAACGCCATCATCGATTGAAAGGCGAAACTGCGCTGGTCATCTGGTGTTCCGTTGATTGGATACTGTATTTCCCCAGTGAAGTACTCCCAAATCTGTGCTGCTTCCATCATGAGTTCAAATTCAAAACTCCAGGCGAAGAAGTCATTTCCGTCGAAAGGCCTTGAAGTCTGAAACTTCAGTATGTTCAGCATCTGTGCTTGATAGTTGGTTGCGTCGCCTACTCCAAGTCTGTTTCCATCCTGTTGATGTTGCTGTTGTTGCTGTTGCGCAGGTGCAGTTCGGGGCACGAACGCCTGAGTGATCCGTGTCTGCTGTCGAGGTGGAGCACGGTAAGAAACTGGTTGTTGTTGTATGTATGATGTCCCATCAATGCTCATTAAAGCTGTTCCCATGTTCACTGACGATGATGCTTGTGGTGCTTGTTGTGCTTGTTGTGTTGCCATGAGCGCTGACATGGCTTGAAAAACTTGTTGTTGTATCACAGGATCGAGGCCTGCTGCGCCATCTCCTGTAGAAGAACCAACTCCATCTGTTGCAGCGTTAAACGCGAAGGACTGGGACTGTCCTCCTACGCCTCCTAGGCCAGTTGCAGATGCAGCTGTTGAAGCAGGGTTGCCAAAGGTTACCCCTGAGAAACGAGAACCAGGTAGTGGTGGTGCAGTGGCCTGATGCGAGCCACCACCTCCACTTTGCAAGTGGGTTTTCCCGTTGTTGCTATCCGTCATGACTGTAAGTTAGCCCTAATAATAAAACTTTTGTTGACTGAGGATTCGTAAGAAACTAGGAGATCGTAAACTCTCCTGCTCTCATACCATGTTGAACTGAGAAAGTCCTTAGGATCTTTTAGAGTTTAACTCTGAAAGGTATTGCAGCGGAAGACTTGAATTCCTGTACTGGTAGATTGTGAGAACAAGATTGAATAATAAGAAAAGATACAAAAGATTTGTAGTTTACGAAAGTACCTATTCATGAAACGGTCTAGATATCGAATCGACTCTACGAAGGGGTATAATCATGTGTCACGCGAACAGTCACGAGACTGTTCGCACTACTACCTGTAACTCACGCGAAGGGACACCTGCTACTGTAACATGCATATATAGATGTACTACGATACTGCTGTAGTTTTACACTTATCGAACCACTGAACTACGTGAGCACATATTAAAAGAGTCATAAAAGGAAACAAAGGAATCAGGTGTGGCCTTCAAGATCCCCTTTACACAGCGTGACAGTATCAGGGTATCTAAATTATACACGATGAGGCATCAAGGCAGGCGGGTGTAGAACACTCTGAAATCGCAGGGTGCTATAAAACAAATATCCTGAAATTTCAGGGCGTTCACCACAAACATCCTGAAACTTCAGGGAAGGTGAGGTAGCTGGGTAATCATAGTATTTTGCCCTGATATCATAGGCCCTGGCTGCTACACTACGTGCGATCAACATGAGACGATCTTATAAACCGTCATTTCATATTGTAACACACTCTAGCAATTTGTATTTTGAGAAAGTTCCCGCGATCCATTTATGGGGGATTACAATACCGTATGTGTATTCAATGTTTGAGCTACAACAAGAACTAATGAAGCTGTATTAGCATACATCTTTGGACTCGCATACAGTGTAACACTCTGTGACAGGGTAATGAGGCTACTTATATGGGTCGACCCAAGAAGCCAAGTGCACCGCCGTGACGCAGGCATGCATCCCCGAACTAGTACTACATGGCCACTCCTCCTCGCACCTCCTACCATCCCCTTCCCTTCCCCTCACTGCAGCGCCCCTGCCGTTCGCAAGTCACGAGTGCGATCGCGCCACTCCCGTGCGCTTCGCCGCCCAACCCCCTCGCCCCAGCGGTCGCACCGGCATGCACGCGACGCGGTCATGGGACGCGCACGAGCAGGCGGAAGGCCCCTCGCCGCTCAAGATGCTCCGCGGCTACCTGCTCCGCCTGCGCCACGCCGGGCCGCCGCCCTCGCGCCTTGACCCGTACCGGCGAGGGTGTGCGCGCGGGGGGGTGGCGGGCGGAATGTGGGGGACGGTGAGGGGAGAGGGAGGCGGAGGGGCCGGGGAAGACGGGAGAGAGGGGGAGGCGTGGGGAGAGGACGTTGTGGGGCTGTTCCGACAGCTGCATGAGGAACATGCGAGGAACATTCCTCTCGACCTGCTCTCGTGAGATGCCTTCCTTTTCAACAAGTCGTTCCCTTGTACCACCGTCAACACCAACCCGCTCCACCCACCTGACCCCCGGCCCTCGCCCGCATACCCGTTTCTCGCGCATCGCCAGTGCCGTCTGCCCTCCACCCCGACCCCCGCCGCCTGCAGCGTGTTGCGCGGATGGCTGCTGTGTTCTCACCCACTCTCGCCGTGTGGCGCTTGTGTCTGCTGTGTGGCGCTTGTGTCCCGCGGCTTCCCTGCGGCATGAAGGCCCGGTGAGGCGGACAGCCCTGCCGCGCTGGACGTGCGGGCGATGCACTTCAGATGCCATGCTGCACGCACTCAGTCGCTCACGGCTCCTGCGCTCCCCTTCCCCTCGCGTGTGTGGCGTGCCCACTGCGTTGCATGCAGGCCCGTGGCGGACAGCCCTGCAGCGCTGGGCGTGCGCGCGCTGTACCGCAAGATGGTGTGCTCTCAGCGCGGAGGCTCGTGCTTCGAGGTGAGGGGGGCGCACGGGACGTGAGGCCGCGACGGGTGTGAGGGGCATGCTCGCATGAGGCGCGGACATGGGGAGGGCGCGAAGCACGGCAGGGAAACGCATGTTGCGATGCTGTGATGTTGCGATGCTGTGATGTTGATGATGCAAAAATGGCGAGGGAGTCTTCGAGAACGCCACGTGCTGCTCGTCGCTCGCAGCATATCACCATATCCCATTGCCTCACCCTCAGCTTCCTGCCTCACTCACCTCTCCCGCACGCCAGCTTGCAACACTCCTTCCCGCTTGCACCGACGCCCTCGTCCTGTTCAGCCACGCCACACCGCAGGGCCTGTCAGGAGCTGTTAAGGCCGCGCAGAGCACCACGGCCCCCCGTAAGCTGACCCCTATCCAATCACCGTTCCTTCCCACCCCCCCACCTCCTCTGTGCGTGGAGTGCAGTCCAACGTGCTGTTCGCCTGGGTGCTCCGTCACCACCTCGCCTGCCAGGTCGACCTCCTCCCCGCCCTCGCCTGCCTCTCGCCACACTCGCCCCCGCGCCACCACTCCCCTGCCTCCTCCCGTCGCTCCTCTCGGCCACCACCTGCACCCGCTGCTACCTTCAATGCTGCCTCGCCAGCAGCGGCGCCATCTCCGGATCATGCGGCTGCATGCGTGACTCGCCTCTCATCTCCTGCTGACTCAGCGCAGCAGCCTGTCCAGTCAGCTAGTGCAGCTGCCTCATCAGCAAGCGCAGAGCTGCCAGATCATGTACGACGTGAGTGAGCCATCTCACTTGGTGACTTGGCTCTTCCTATCCCGTACTGTCCTGTACCCACACACCCACCCACCCACCTACACACCCACCCACCCACCCAACCAACAACCCACCCACCTACCCATGTGTTCTCATTCATGCACATGCCCTCTCACCATGCGTTGCCCCACCACCCCCCATTCCTCCCCCCCTCACCGCATGCAGATGTGTCTGCTCGTGCACATCAACGGCATGGCATGGCTCGCTGACGTCAGCACGCCCTGCTGCCCCAGCAGCCTTCTTCCCCACCCCATGTTCTTGGAACCACTGCTCTTCCAACCCGGCATCCACCAGGCACGCCCCTCCTTCCCCTCGCCTCCAATCTCCATTCATTACACACGTCCCTTCATTCCTTGCTGTGATGTGCCACTCCCACTCCCACCCATTCTCTCTCCTCACCCAAGCGTTTCCTCTCCATCCCACCTCTCAATCCCACCACTCCTCTCCCCCACAGCACCAGGACGCGGGGGTGTACCGCATATCCCCATGCCCCCCGCCCCACCCGCCCGCACCTGCCAGTGCAGCCCCTTGGGTGCGTGGAAGAGGTGCGGGGGCTCTCGGTGTGGCGCCTGCATGCGCAGCAGACGGCTGGGAGAAGGCAGTAGCAGCAGTAGCAGCAGCGGACAGGGGCAGGGAGGGATGGAGGGCAGTAGAAAGAGGCGTGCACGGGTGGGCAGTGGAGCACGTAGAGGCAGGAATGGATGGGCGCATGGCTGAGAGGAGTGCTGGCGTGGAGGCAGATTCAGATTCAGACCCCGATGATGATGATGATGACTTCTACACGGAGGGTGTGCGTGGCGAGGGGACAGCGTGCCCACCGGGGCTCACGCATGCTGCAGGTGGACAGGCGGCAGCAGCAGCAGCAGCGGTGAGGGCAGACGAGCAGTGGTATGTGGTGGAGAGGCTGTGCCGAGTGGGGCCCAGTGAAGCAGGCGGGAGATGGGCAGGAGCAGATGGCAAGCAGGCAGCATGGGGGGAGGCCGCTTGTGAGGAGGAGGCGCAGTGGCAGCCGCTGTATCGCTTCTCCTCGTGGCCGCGTGACGCCCCTCACTTCCTCCAGGTGCTCCCACCTCGCCCTTCGCCCTCTCGCCTCGTTCCCTCCTGCCTGTGCCATTGAGTCATGCACAAAGCAAGCTTGCCGAGGCACCAGCCCTTGCACAGCTGCATGCGCGCCTCTATACCCGCCCGTGCCACCCGCTGCTTCCAGCCAGCCGTTTCTCCTGCCCCCTCTCTTCCTGCCCTGCCCTCCCTCCCACCCGCCGCTCTCTGCAGTGCATGCGCCATGCCTCGCCCCTGGGCAGGCCGCGTGTGGCGGTGCGCGTGTGCAGCGAGGGGGAGAGGGAGGCGGAGGGCAGGGGGGTGATTCGTGAGATGATTTGCGACCGCCACTTGCTGCTGCTGGATGGCGACGGGCGCGTGCAGGTGAGAGGGGCGCGTGCAGGTGAGAGGGGCGAGTGCAGGTGAGAGGGGCGCGTGCAGGTGAGAGGGGCGAGTGCAGGTGAGAGGGGCGCGTGCAGGTGAGAGGGGCGAGTGCAGGTGAGAGGGGCGAGTGCAGGTGAGAGGGGCGAGTGCAGGTGAGAGGGGCGAGTGCAGGTGAGAGGGGCGAGTGCAGGTGAGAGGGGCGAGTGCAGGTGAGAGGGGCGAGTGCAGGTGAGAGGGGCGCGTGCAGGTGAGAGGGGCGAGTGCAGGTGAGAGGGGCGAGTGCAGGTGAGAGGGGCGAGTGCAGGTGAGAGGGGCGAGTGCAGGTGAGAGGGGCGAGCGCAGGTGAGAGGGGCGAGTGCAGGTGAGAGGGGCGAGTGCAGGTGAGAGGGGCGAGTGCAGGTGAGAGGGGCGAGTGTAGGTGAGAGGGGCGAGTGCAGGTGAGAGGGGCGAGTGCAGGTGAGAGGGGCGAGTGCAGGTGAGAGGGGCGAGTGCAGGTGAGAGGGGCGAGTGCAGGTGAGAGGGGCGAGTGCAGGTGAGAGGGGCGAGTGCAGGTGAGAGGGGCGAGTGCAGGTGAGAGGGGCGAGTGCAGGTGAGAGGGGCGAGTGCAGGTGAGAGGGGCGAGTGCAGGTGAGAGGGGCGAGTGCAGGTGAGAGGGAAAGTGCCGGGTGTGAGGCAGGTAAGGGTGATGAGTGGGGCGAATGATTTGCGATAGTGAGATGCTGCTGCAGGAGTCGGATAGGAAGGAGGGGCGAAGGTGGATGGGAAACCAGAGGGCTGATGGGGTGCACTGTGCACGGAATGGCCTCTGCATGGCTAGCATTGGCACCAGTGGCAGCCTCTTCAACTGGGCCTCTCCGATCGTGGCACTTTTGCTTGCCATGATGCTATGTGGTGCAACCTATGGTGCTGTGCTGCCCATTCCATGCGAAGGTCCAGTGATGCTTCGTGGGCTGCCAAGTGCGTGAATTGACAAGTTTGTTGTAGCCAAGCGGTGAACACACTGGGTACTTGTTTCCTTGTTCCAAGAACGCCCTTGCCATGGAAGCACGCACTATGCCATGTCACCTCCTTCCTTCCAGAACCAAAGCTTCCTCTCTCTCCCACCGGTATCCCCAACCCCTTTCTCTCGTCCACTCCATCGGCTTGCATCCCCGTTCTCCCTTGATCAGAGGCAGCAGCAGCTGGCAACAGACGAGGAGTTCAGTGCGGTAGTGAGGGGGGGATTCGGCATCCGGCTGGGGGCAGACGATGTGAGGGCCATGCCACCTGTCTCCAGGGAGCCACCACTTGGTGACGCTTGGTTGGCCAGCGAGTGGTGAAAGTAGCACGGTGTTGCATTGCATGGGATTGTGATGTGTCAAGTCATTGACCTGTCCGTTGCTAGCAATTGCCAGTCTGTTTCGTTGTGCATTCCAATGTGAAGCAAGAAATGGCCGGTTTAAAGCCAGGATCTCAAGTAGTTTGGCTGTTTTGCAGTTAGTGAATCGTGTTAGGCTGTGATTGGTTGACGAGGTAGAGTAGTTGACGAGAGCTGAAACGAGGGATGCGAAGCAAACAAAAATCGCAGTGAACTTCCGAACCAACTAGGCACGGAAATCTGGTTGGGTTCCGAAGCTCATTTCCCAGCAATGTGTCTCACTTGCCGAAAAATCTCATGCACAGCAATTTGTTTTGCAATTGAGATTCACGGTCAAATCGGGGATCAGTCGCACACTGAACCTCCAACCCAACCACTCGATTTCGCCTAAACAAACAGGGTGACTCGAGCTGCAAGTGTTTTGCAATTGAAGCCAATTTCTCTTACTTGAGATCCTGGCTTTAAGAAAAATGTATGCAGATAGGAGAGCTCGAGGAGTAGGACTCAGTAGTGCGTTTGGTGGATCTTGCAAGCTGTTCTCCCCTGATTAAGTTATGAAATTCTAAGTACTTATTCACCTCATGCTGCCTGCTTCTCAGCTCTCCCTTCAATCCGCGTTACCATTCGTGTCGCGAGCACTTGTCGCGTTGACCGCGTAAACGAACCGCGCTCGCCTTGCCCGAGCCCCCGTTTATTGGAAGCTTCCGCGTAGCTCCTCCTCAGCAAGCCCGGGCAGCTCGTCGCACTGCTAAGTCGTGTTCAATGCGCTGACCCGCGACGGGCTGGCTTTCGCCATGCGCGCGTCGGCTGCGCGTCTGTCGTCCTTCTGCCGGCGCAGCCTCGTCCGACCACTTTCTTCGCTGCCCCAAACTTCGAGGTTCGAAGACATCCGAACCACCACGCCCGAGCCTCAGCAGGCTCGGCATTGTGGCTCTTACTCTACTCCGTCGAGCCTAGCCAGTAATCCTGCCCGGTCTTACTGTGGGAAGGACGCGAAGCGTCCGACTGGCTGGAAAGGAGAGAGCTTGCGGAGGATGACGTCAGCCGTGACAAATGGCGAGCCACGTCAGGCTGACGTGGACGAGTTCAGAGAGTGCCTGTCGCGCGCAACGGTGAGACCTGCGGATTGGTGCCGCGAGTGGCTTGGGGGGGAGATTGAGGAGCGGGGGGAGATTGAGGAGGAGGGGAGATTGAGGAAGGGGGGGAGATTGAGGAAGGGGGGGAGATTGAGGAAGGGGGGGAGATTGAGGAAGGGGGGGAGATTGAGGAAGGGGGGGAGATTGAGGAAGGGGGGGAGATTGAGGAAGGGGGGGAGATTGAGGAAGGGGGGGAGATTGAGGAAGGGGGGGAGATTGAGGAAGGGGGGGAGATTGAGGAAGGGGGGGAGATTGAGGAAGGGGGGAGATTGAGGAAGGGGGGAGATTGAGGAAGGGGGAAGATTGAGGAAAGGGGGGAGATTGAGGAGAGGGGGAGATTGAGGAAGGGGGAGATTGAGGAGAGGGGGAGGTGGGGTGCTGGAACGTTAAGGGGTGGTTTGAGGGGAGGGGGGAAGGTTAAGGAGGTGGTGGGGGCGGAAGAGGGAGAGAGGGGGGGGTGATATCGATGGGGCGCACTTCTTTGAAGGGGGAGATGTGCAATGAGAGCAGGGGAGGGGGGAAGTAGAAGAGGGGGTGCGTCCCCTCCACCATCCGTTGCCACAGGCCCAGTATACACTCGAACGATGAGTGCTACTAGTGTGCTCTCCTTCCCCCTGCCTCACCCTCCCTCCACCGCCCCTTGCCTCCCCGGCAGCGTGTGGCGGTGCTGACGGGGGCGGGTGTGTCTGCAGCATCGGGTGTGCCCACCTTCAGAGGGGCGGGGGGGCTCTGGCGCACTTATGATGCCACGGTGGGTGCCATGCCACGGTGGGTGCCATGCCACGGTGGGTGCCATGCCACTGTGCATGCTTCATGTCTTTCGTGGGGGATGTTGTGGTGAGCCGTGGGGGACTATGTGGTGGGCATGGTGGGTCACTTGCATGCTGCTTTGCTGTGTGCTGCACTCATAACGCCTTTCCCCTTCCTCCCTTCCCTCGCCCTCGCACCTCTCGTCCCTCGCCCTTCTCATCCCTGCGCCCACAGGAGCTGGCAACCCCACATGCGTTTGCGGCTGACCCATCGCTGGTGTGGGAGTTCTACCACTACCGCAGGTGCTTCCCTTCCTGCCGCCTACCTCCACCTTTGGCACTTCCGTCCTTCCTTGTGCCACCACTGTAGGCAAAGCCTCTTGGCTCAAGTGTGGTTTTGTTGTCCGAGCCTTCTGAGCCATGTTAAATCTTGAATTGGCTGCTCTAGATCGTGCCTAGCCTTTTATAGCCGCATGTAGACAAACTTTTGGGAGACGTTCTTACTAGTACCTTTTTTATCTCCCTCGTTGTTACTTTCCACTATTTCCTCCTTGGGCATGGCTGGCTGGCAGGAGTGTGGTGGCACGGTGCACACCCAATGCGGGCCACGGGGCGTTGGTGCAGCTGGAGCAGCGCTGCCAGCGGGAGGGCAAGGCCTTCACGCTCCTCACTCAGGTGCCCGTGTTCCTCTGCCGTCCCGGCTCTATGCTTTGGTGCCATGTCGTTTTCCCGCTGTTTACGGCTCACGTGCCCCTATGCCCCCATGTGCTCATCGCAATGTGGATGGTCTGCCATGCCCGTTGCTTGCACCACTGCCGTTGCTGCACTGCTCGATGTGCATTGGCCACATGCCCACCATCGCTGCCATCATCGCCACCCACCCATCGTCACCCCTCATCATCCCCTTGGACCCCTCAGAACGTGGACGGGCTACACACAGCGGCGGGCAGCAGGGCGCTGGTGGAGCTGCATGGCTGCCTCTGGCGCACCCGCTGCCTCACCTGTGGTGACATCGCAGAGAACCGCACTCAACCCATCTGCGCTGCTTTAGATGGCAAGGTACTGGGAGCTGATAGGGATGAGGGAAATCATGGTCGGGTGGGAGATGAAGTGGGGAGGTTGAGGGGGAAAGGGTGTGGGAAAATTGGGTGATGAAAGGTTGGGGCTCGGTATGGAGGGAATGCAATGATGGAAGGTTACTGGGGGATGGAAATGCTCTTGTATAATCAGCTGCTCTGCTCCTGTTGATGTGTCTGTGTCCTGCCAATTCCCCATCACCTGTCACACCATCGCCTGGCACTCTCTCACCCACTCTCACTCACATCATCCCACCAACCCGTGCTGCCATCCCACCCACCTGTGCTGCTAGCTGAACCCCCTCATCTTCACTCCGCTCGTCTTCCCTCTCGTTCCCTCTACGCTAATGCCTCCACTCCTGATTCCACATGCCTCGCCACATTCTGCTGCCCCGTTCCAATACCCCTCTATCATCCGTGCCTCGCCACTCCGTGCACGCCTGCGCCTGAGCCTTCCTCTCTTCCCACCGTCTTGGCACGCCGCAAGGAGCGCCCACCACGGGTACCAAGGCCTGAGCCTGAGCCTTCTTTCCCCCCCTGTACGGCTGCACCTGAACCGTCTTTTCTTCCCATTTCCCCGCTCGCTGCCTTGCTCTGCTGCAGGGAGCGCCCAGCGAGGGTGCCAAGGCAGCGAGCATCGCTCTCAAGGACCTGCCGCGCTGCACCAAGCTGCCCCAAGGTGCAGCCTCGGGCCGACCCTGCAATGGGTTGCTTCGGCCGGACATAGTGTGGTTCGGGGAGTGTCTGGAGCCGCGGGTGGTGCAAGCAGCAGAGGGTGCCGTCACTGGCTGCGACCTGCTGCTCGTTGTTGGCACCTCGGGTGTCGTGCATGTGAGGCGGTGTGCATGTGAGGCGGTGTGCATGTGAGGCGGCGTGCATGTGAGGCGGTGTGCATGTGAGGCGGTGTGCATGTGAGGCGGCGTGCATGTGAGGCGGTGTGCATGTGAGGCGGTGTGCATGTGAGGCGGTGTGCATGTGAAGCGGTGTGCATGTATGTGCATTAGTGGCATGGTACTTTTTATTGGATGTTACCACTTTATATTTTCAACAGTCCTCGCGCCTCCGCGCCATCTCTACATTCCATCCACTCACCTCCTGTCCCGCCCCCCTGTTTCCTCCCTGTCACCTGCAACCCCCCCCCTCCCCCCTTGCACTCGCTGCAGCCAGCGGCGGGGTATGTGAGGGTGGTGCGGGCGGCAGGGGGGCGGGTGGCGGAGTTCAACGCAGAAGCCACTGCACTCTCCACTCTCGCCACCTGGAAGTTCCCGGGGGACTCCGCCACGCTGCTGCCACTCGTACTGGGGATGAATGGAAGCGAGAGGGGGTGATGACAACTCAGCAATGCTTATATACGCTAGACTGGAATTCTCTACGAGGGATTATCGAGGCTTGATCATCAGCCACACATGCGACCAGGGCCTAAGATTCGTCAGATTAACATTGCACAAAAAAATGCCCGAAACGAAGGTTCAGCCAATGGCGTCAGGTGATGCATGGCGTCAGGTGATGCATGGCGTCAGGTGATGCATGGCGTCAGGTGATGCATGGCGTCAGGTGATGCATGGCGTCAGGTGATGCATGGCGTCAGGTGATGCATGGCGTCAGGTGATGCATGGCGTCAGGTGATGCATGGCGTCGGGTGATGCATGGCGTCGGGTGATGCATGGCGTCGGGTGATGCATGGCGTCGGGTGATGCATGGCGTCGGGTGATGCATGGCGTCGGGTGATGCATGGCGTCGGGTGATGCATGGCGTCGGGTGATGCATGGCGTCGGGTGATGCATGGCGTCAGGTGATGCATGGCGTCAGGTGATGCATGGCGTCGGGTGATGCATGGCGTCGGGTGATGCATGGCGTCCGGTGATGCATGGCGTCAGGTGATGCATGGCGTCAGGTGATGCATGGCGTCAGGTGATGCATGGCGTCAGGTGATGCATGGCGTCAGGTGATGCATGGCGTCAGGTGATGCATGGCGTCATGCACTGCTCTCCAGAACTACAATAGATGCACAACCAATGCAGACTTTATTACATGCTGATTCACCTGTACAATAAGTCTGACTACACGACAAACTATAACCAATCAGCTTGTCACAACACGAACTCAGCTGAAACGGTGCCATGCCATGCTTTGAGGCCCATCGTTTTGGAGATCTTAGCACCAGGTGAAACGCTGTGTACTCTTGAGAAAGTGCAGGGAAACTGCAGCAAGGTGACGTTTAAATCGACTCAGGAGTCACCCTGGAAGCACCTACGGTATTGCTGAGCCACATGCTGCCTCCTCTGCTGCACATCTCGATGTTTCGACGGCAGCATCTGTCGAGTTCTCCAATGCTTCAATTTTGACCTGCATGGATGCATGAACAGCAAACCATCGGAAGCCAGAAACAGCTCCTTGGGTAATCAGAAACTTCTACGAGGTGACTCTAAGACCGTTTAAGCTCTAAGAGACGGTGACACGTGCCTGGCATGCAAATCGCGTGCACACTTTGTGAAAATGCTTACGCGTCAGCAAACAATATCTAACATTGATTCGAAAGATACTACAGTACAGAAAACCGGTGTGTACCTGTAGGTCTCATATGTGTGAGAGGGCAGACTCCACCATTGTGGCTGTATCGAGTTGTGCTCTTGTGAAAGATGGGGGTAGCACCCTACGAAGCTTCTCCAGGCCTCTCCTGATACAATCACATCCAATTTATGCACAGGATTAGAATAAGGTCACATGCTCACATGATATTGCCTCCTCGCAAGTAGCTCAGGTCTCGCAAACAAGGCCGACTGCCCACTGAACGGGTGGGGAATAGTAAGAAACGCTATTGCGGGATGATACTCGTGCGAACGGTGCATTTCGGGGCTACAAAGCCCCGTAGGGTAATGCGCCGGGAAAAAAAAAGCCAGCAGAAATCCCCTGGCGTGGCCACTCGAGTAATTATCACCAAATTTGGTGGCCACTCGAGTAATTCGAAGCCACGCGAGTAAGGACGAATCACCGAACATGGTTCTACAGTAATTCTCTCGCAACCTGTGGTGGAAACCTATCATCAGGCAAAGTGTGCTGATTTCACGTTTCGTGCCCGCGTTCGCGAGACACAACGCGCCTCGTCAGGCAAAATGAAAGTTTCCCGACCCCAGATTGAAAGGTGCTGACATTTCAAAGCTGATTTGGCGGGAGGCTCGGAGGTGGGGAATGGCCTTGGTTTCCCCGATATAGACACGTCCAGAATGTTTTACTGGGGCCTGATTTGGGCGGTGTTCTGTCGCCCTAGGTAAAATTCAAAGCCGCAGGAGAGTGAGAGTGCAATCCCCGTCGGGACACCATCCGAAGTTTGCCCATCCGAACGGTTTTGGCGCGAGGATGGTGTCCCGGTTGGGGCAGGGCCCCACTTTTGACATTTGTCAGTGGTGTGGCATGGTGTGGCATGGTGTGGCATGGTGTGGCATGGTGTGGCATGGTGTGGCATGGTGTGGCATGGTGTGGCATGGTGTAGCATGGTGTGGCATCGTGTGGCATGGTGTGGCATGGTGTGGCATGGTGTGGCATGGTGTGGCATGGCAGAAAATAAATCCATCTTCTTGCTGAAACTTGTGAAGGGACCGCAATCAGAATCAGCATTTAGGGAGAAGGAAAGAGGCAGCTGGAGAATGCAAGTGGGGGAGGGCGAGAGTGAGAACTAGAGTGGGTTAAAGAACGGGAGAGCGAGTGGGAGAGAGAGTAGGAGAGCGAGTGGGACAAAGAGTGGGAGAGTGAGTGGGAGAGTGAGTAGGCGAGGCAGTGGGAGGGAGTGGGCAGACCTGCTAGTTTTGAGGCGCCTCAAAACTAGACTTTTGAGGCGCCTCAAAACCAGTGGGAGGGAGTGGGCAGACCTGCTGGTGCCGCTTCTGCACATCTCTTGCCGTCACATCATTCAGAATGGTGTAGCTGGGTGGGAATGAAGAGAAGAGCGGGCAGCAGGTGGTGGGGGGGCGGGGGAAGGGTTGTTGGCCAGCGAAATATCGTGACAAGTCAAGAGTAGGCGTTGGACGACTAATTATCATTCCTGGAGCACGTCAAAAAGCCTCGCGTCTCAAACGACGAGATACAGTGCGGTGGAAACGTTCGATACTTAGGTGTAATACGGTGCAGAGCGGTATATTGCTTTTGTGACACCTAAAACGAAGACATGTCTTCGCAGGAATGTACCCTAAGGAGAGATTCAATTGCAGATCGCAAACATGAAAGTGAGGTACGTGGGAGAGTGATTAGGAGTGATGAGAAAAATGCAATATGGGAAACTGGGATGAGTGCATGAAAAACGAATGTGCAAAAGAGAGAACGAGGAGAGATTGTGGGGCATTGGGGGACAAGAGGTATGTGCCTTAAGACTCGCCTTCCTCCCTCCTTTGTCTCACCATCCGTGCTATTTCACTTCACCGCAACAAAACACAAACCAGTCGCAACAAAGTGACAAGAACAGGCGAGTGACCAGACATTTTTCATCATGCCACCTAGTACTTTTGTCACTTCTGAGAATTCTGAAAGAAAAAAGATTGCGAGAAGAAAAAGGAAAACATACCCAAAGACATGGTTCATGGCATCTTCTGCCTTGATGCCTCGACCAGGTTTCCCAATGATGACTGCCAGCTCTGTGCAGGGGGCGATGGGATGGGAGATTGGGATGTGAGATGGGATGGGAGATTGGGATGGGTGATGGGGATGGGCGATAGGGATGGCACGGGTGGATTTTTAGGGGGCCTCAAAAGCCTTGATGCCTTGACTAGGCCTGCCGATGATCACTGCCAGCTCTGTGTGTGGGCCATGGGGATGGGCGACAGGGATGGGCCATGGGGATGGGCGACAGGGATGGGCCATGGGGATGGGAGACAGGGATGAGCCATGGGGATGGGCGACAGGGATGGGCCATGGGGATGGGCGACAGGGATGGGCCATGGGGATGGGCGACAGGGATGGGCCATGGGGATGGGCGACAGGGATGAGCCATGGGGATGGGCCATGGGGATGGTGATGGGGATACGATGGCATGAGTGAACATGAAGAATGCGTTTCAAGGGCTGCCCTTTCCATCAAGGGAGGGGATGTTGACAAGTGGCGCAGACAGACGGCGTGGGGTGGGTGGGGGGCAGAGGACTGGATGGGAGAAGCCACGTGTAGAAAGTAGATTTTTGAGACGTCTCAAAGATCTACTTTCAGAAGCCACGTGCAGACAGGCGGCGTGGGGTGGGTGGGGGGCAGAGGACTGGATGGGATGGGAGGAGTGTGCGTAACATTGGGTAACATGATAGGTCACCACTTCGTGACCACCTCACTTCTTCTTCTGTACATGTGATGTGTGTATACAAACTAACCGACACACACGTACCCACAAGGGGAGGGGAAGAGGAGGGGGAGGGGAAGAGGAGGGGGAGGGGAAGAGGAGGGGGAGGGGAAAGAAGAGGAAGGAGCAAACTGTAGTGGACAGGGGGAGAGGAGGAAGAGAATGGGGCGGGTGGTGGCAAAGGAGGAGGGGAAGGGCGGAAAGGGACAAGAGGAGGGAACGAAGGGGAGGAAACAGCGGGTGGAAGGTTAGAGAGGAAGGGAGGGAAGGAGAGGGGAAGGCGATTTGCAAGAAAATGGTCACCTGATGCGATCGCGCCTTTAAAGCAAGAAAGTGGTCACCTGATGCGATCGCGACGGTGCCTCTCCTTCATGCTCCTGGCCTGTATGCATCCCAGCCCCACCGCCTGCCCATCCAATCGTGCTCGAATGCGCGGTCGCCAGTCCTCCCCTTCCCACCCGCCCTCCTTCCGCTTTGCCTCTTTCGCTCCCGTTTCTTCCTTCCTCGCTCCCCTATCATCCTCCACTCCCCTCACTTTCGACCACTGCGGTACCTTCTCCGAACCAATCAGGGACGTCCACGTGGCAGGAGGCTCTTGCACTGTCACGGTGTGACCCGTTTCTCCTTCATGACACGCACTAGGAGTGGCAGAAAGTGAACAACAAGCACCAGCACAGGCAGGCGTGCAGCAAACACCAGGAGCGGGGGGTGTGAAGAAAGCAGGGGGCGGACATGCAGCAGCAGCAGCAGCAGGAGCAGGGGTTGGTGGTGGGGAGGATGGAAGAGACGCATCCTCCTGCGAGTTAAGGCAGGGGCTGTCTGGCCCGGTAAGGTCGCCTGGCAATGCAGGGTCCATGCTGTTGCTCCCTTGCCCCTCCTGTGCTCTGTACTTTAGAGCCACCTCAAAAGAAGAACTTTCCATCATCCCTCCCTCCTGCATCATCCCTCCACCCCACATCATCCCTCCCCCCTGCATCCCCCCATCCTGCAACATCAAAGCTTCCAGCATCATCATCCCCTCCACCATCCCTCCCTCCCCGGTTGCACCTAAACAGCCGCCCTCCTCCAGCGCCTCTGAGAAAGCCAGAGACGGTTTCCACACCTCAGCTTGCACTTGAGAATACTCAAGCATCTCATGCACACCTAAGTCTCCCATCCAGCCTTGCCCCTCTATCTGCATCTGCATCTGAGCGAAACGGGCGGCATGTGCAGATTCTCGGATCAAATTGGGCGGCAGAGACAGCCCTGCCAGCTCAGCCTGTGCCACCCAGCTTCTGACCGCCACTTGCTGCTGTCGCACCAGAGAGGCCGATGCTGCTGCATATCTATCAGTGGTAATGGCATCACCAAAGCCTGTTACCACCATACTCTTTAGTCTGGTCACTGTGTATCTGTCAGTACTAGTACTGACATTATCACCATTAGCGCCTGCTACCGCCATACAGTCTATTCCGGAGGCGCTCAACGCATGTGCGCTCCAGCTATCCACTGCCACTTGCTGCTGCCGCTGCTGCTGCTGCCACCGCTGCCGTTGCTGTTCTTGATACAGCTCTGCCACGGCTCGTTCCAGAACAGGGACGTCAGCATGTGAATGGGACGGAGACAGCACGGGCTCCTGGGGATTCACAGGCAGCCGACGCTGATGCATGCAAGGCGCCATGGTGAGTTCCTCCAGCTGTCCCTGGCGCCTCAACAGCGGCTGGCCAGTGCTCTCATTCGAGCCTCGAGGCACCTCAACACGTGGGCTTGGCGGGTCCATGACGGCTGCTATGATGGGGTTTTCTTCAACTTGTCGCTGGCGCCTCAACAGCTCTGCCAAGAGACCACTCTCCTCCTCCTCATTCCGTATCTGCGATTCTCGAGGCGCATTAAAAGTAGGCCGCCCGTGGCGCCTCAACAGCTCCCTCAAGGGACCACTCTCCTCCTCATCCGTCAAGAGACGTCGTTCGTCCATCTCTGCAGGTCAGATGTTCTCTGGTTTGCTTGAAGGATGCTTCGCGTGAAGGTCACAGGGAGGTGTTACTCCTGGTGCGGAGCGGAGCTACCCGGCGAGATACAAGGCGGCAAAGTCGAAGCAGCTACAAGGCAGGAAGCATCGACGCGAAAGTCCAAGAAACGGCTATGAGGCCTCGGAGTACAGGAAATGGGAGTAGTTTCACAGAATAGAGGAGGGGATAAGTGACTTATTAGTACCGCCGTAGCTTCAACGCCTTCCTTACTACTTAGCCTGTGGTTGCCAAGGCCGCAGCCGCCATGAGTTGAAGGCGATAAGGGAGAGCGCGAGGCTGCTGGTAACCACCGCACGCGAAGGGAGCTGCTGGAAACGCGGCACTGCGACTCGCAGCTAGCTTCCACCATTGCGAGCCACCTCCCACAGCCGCGAGCCATGTCCACCGTCCAGCCACCACTAGAGCACATCTTTAATGCGGGAGGAGGTTTCTCACATCGGGATGGCAACTTAACAGCCACGTTTGCCTTTTCAGGCTCCTAAAGAACGAGTCTGGCATCGCAACCTCGCACTTGGAGTCAAAGCGTGCAGGGGTGCTAGGAATGGTCTGTCTCGAACGCGAAACCGACGAATTTCCGTTGCAGTTACCGATTGGCTTGGCGTCGAGCGAGTGTGCGTCATCACCTACACGCGACGCGCATCTGAGGGCGAAAATTCTCGAATTTGTCCTCCTCGTATTTCAATCACCGCTGAATGAGAGATTTTCCAACTCGACGTAACACGTGAACGCGGGGGGCAATGACGAGAAGTTAACTGAGCAGGATGATAGCGTCACGTGATGACTGTCGTCACGGGATCTGTCGGGAAATAACTGAAGGGGCGAAGGCAAGTTCGTCAGATTTTAGGCCGACCAAGTGATAAGGGTACTGTTCGACAGGCAGCCATCTCCTTGCAGTGCTAGGGTTAGGCTAGAGATGAGGAGGTGATTTCGAAGTAACTTCCCCTAGGCTAACCCCCCCCCCCCCCACGAAATCGGAAGCCGCGCCTCCCGAGGTCGGAAGGAGGGGAACGTCGTGGCGATGTTGCCACCCCACCTTCCACCATTTTCATCGTGGGCAGGGTCCAAAAGTTAGCACCGCCCGGCATGGAAACCTGGGTAAATCATGGGGAAAAAAAAAACCCACACAACCCTCACGCGTCCAACGGTTGCAAAGGCACGTGACTTTTTCAGGGCAGAGATAGGGATGGTTGGAGCATGGGTCCTGGTGGAAAGGTTTTCGTGGTGTATGGGGTGGGTATTCCCTCCCATTCGGAACTCTAGCCTATCCCTTGGCCAACCTCCGTCTTGGGGATGTGAGGGCTGGGCTAGAGCTAGGCCCGTTCCTGTGCGTGTGAGAAGCCTCGCGGTGCTTTCGAGGGGGATGAAGTTGAGGGGCTAAAGCAGCGTTCGACAGGCTAACCCTAACCCTTAGGGTTCCAGAGCGTTAAAGCCCAGTGAGACCAAATTACGGGCTGACCGTGGGAAAAAAACCCAAAGTCGAAACAGCTGAGATGATTCCGCGGAAGGGCTTGCATGCCTGTCGAACAGCCCCAAGAAGATTCAACAGTCTCCAGCTTCTGTTCTTGCTGCTCTTGCCCCCTCCTCCTGCGAGTGCTCTCCTTCCGCCTGCTTCTCCTGCACCTTCGCGCCTAGTTGACAAGACAAAATGCCTCATCCACGTCACGAAACAAAGAATCGGTTCCCTTGTTCCCCATCCGGTGTGAGCTGGCGGATTTAAAACCAGGGTGCACATTCAATTGGATTTCTGTCAAAGGTTAACCTTTGACCTCGGGGTTACTCAGTGATTTAGGAATATCTAGGGGGAGTGTTCGCTTCAGCAGGTGAACATTTGAACCCTCGAGATTTGGCAAATGTAAACCGAAGTCATCGAATGTGCTTCCGCCAATTCGTTTCCCCCCTCCCCATACCTATTCCGCTCCCACCGAAATTGTTTCCCCTTCCCCCACAATATCGTCTCACCCCCTTTCCCCTTTCCGCCAACCCAGTTGCCCTCCCCTTGATCCCCAATTTCTAGATCCAAGTGTTATCAATTTCTCCCCTGCCAAGCCTCATCTCTCACGGACGAAAAGCCCCATGCTCGCCCATTCTCAACTATTTATTCGCTACTCGTCAACCAATCAGCAGTTCCCGCAAACATGCCGCCCAAAATTTAGCCTGGAGTCGCGTTGAATGTGTACCCTGGTTTTAAAAGTTCCGAGAGAGCATGGGCGGTGCTGTAAGGACGTGTGGTTCGCCAATGATCTTCTGCATGCTAACGAGGAGTCCCTACTCGCGGCGCGTTTACAGAAGAATGTTCTATGATCAGTTGGGTTGGGCGGCAAGAGGCACAACCCTCTCCAGGTCTTATCGGGCTCCTGTTCGGTCAGGACATCGATTACAAGACACTCACAATCGCTACCGTTTGACCCGACATCGAGCAGAAATTGCCGTGCATAGGTTTGTGAGCCATAAATGTTACCTCCCAGCCCGTTTTGGCAATCTCTCTTCACTGGCACACCACCTTACAAGTACAGTACCTGCTTCGTCGTAAAGTTGAGTACAAAATGGAACGGAGAGGGATGCAAGAAATTCAAGCAGGATCTGGATGATAACTCACGAGGTTGGGCCACCGCCATGGCAGCCTGTTGTGCGGAAAATGACAGCTGTGACAGTTCGAAACACAATGAGCAAGGATCCACACTGCCCAGTTCCCGCCTTTTCCTAACGGAAGCAGCATCTAATCAATGATTCTGAGCAAGAGATCAGCACACATTTGGAACAGATTGGTCGATCTAGCGGGTGTATTCACGTGACAAGCAGTCCATCGCAATGACGTCGCACATCCTCGGTTTCAACGGTCCGGGACCTCGATAAGGACTGGAAATTTTGTAGGGTTACAGTTATTGCTAATGCTTGCATTCTAGTACCGTATGCAGATTTGCGACGTAGCCGATTGTCAGAATATAACATTCTTATATAATTACGAAGCAGACTCACAAGCGAGGCAACACCGAGTCAACCAAATTACAGCGAAGCGGTTGACAAAAGGACAAAAGCAAGAAGTTGAAGCGAACGTCAAAGGTCAGTGAACTTTGACTCGACGAAAACAGCACGATAGCAAGGACAAATAACTGACTCGCTATTGAGCAGTTACCCGAGTCGTCACTGTATCAAACCGCATTAGCAGTTACAATTGCAGTTAGTGAAACCTTTCATATTCCCTCTAATCATATAAAATCCATGTATCTCTATGCTATAATAAACACATCTTGTTCTCACATACCAGTGCAAGGTGGTTCAACCAGTCTCATTAAGACGCTTCCGCTAATACATCATCACTCTGAGCCTTAGTCATTGAAACGATCCTAAGGGCTTTCTCAGCCCAACATGGTATGAGAGCTAGCAAAGACAAGGCTCAACTACCCTCAATTCTACAACTCACACGACAGAAGACATCGCAACACAGAAGGAAAGAAGCTCGTCTACTGGATCTCCTGGTACTACTCCTACTCCACCTCCGGTCACTGGACTACAAACAGAAGGAGGCACTGCCCAAGGACCAGCTGCAGAATCTACTGAAGCGCCTGTGAACCCGGCAACTGTCGAGAAACGCTAGCAGAAAGTTAGAAACGAAAAGAGGGGTTGCACTAGCAGCAGATAGGATACATATAGGAAACCCTAATTTGGGCTGTACTCACTATAGAGTACCCCACTGCAGACTAGACAATTATAGCATTCTGACACACCCCCATAGGCAAAGTGGGGTATGATCAGCACAACAAGCAGTCGCATAAGCAAGCAAAGCTAGAGGCAGTCACAGAAGGCAAGTGAGGAGGAGGAGGGACTGTGAGAGGAGTGGAGATAGGAGGCGACGGGTGAAGCCGCAGACACACGGGCAACAGGAGCGGCGCGCACGGTGGCTACGGGAGAAAGGGCCCCGGACTACAGGAGTAACTGGCTCCGCGGCTAAGACGAGCGGCAGGAGCAACGGACCCACGGGCAACTGGCGCAGCAGGCTCGCTGGGCTACCGGAGCAAGGGCCCCGGACTACTGGCGCTGCTGACATCACGACGGCTACCTCCGCTCAACCTCCCCCAACTGTCCCACACCCCTTTCACACACCCCTTGCTACACCCCTAGCTCCACTCCCACGACACCCCCCTAGCGCCACTCCCTCGGCTCCCACACACCAACCCCCCTCAGCGGCAGCTGCAGCAGTGGGAGACGGAGGAGGAGGAGGAGCAGGGGACGGCTCACACACCCGCCACCCCCACACCCGCCACCCCCATACCCCCAACGCAGGCGGCGCGCGTGCGGCGCGGGGCAGATACGCGGGCAACAGTTGGGGCGCTGCGACGGGCGACGGGTAGGGCGGTGCGCGGGCCCCCAGGGAGCCACGACGGGCGACGGGAGGGGGCGACGAGCGGGCCCCCAGGGCGCCGCGACGGGCGATGGGCAGGGCGGCGCGCGGGTCCCCGGGGCGCCGCGATGGGCGACGGGAGGGGGCGGCGCGCGGGCCCCCGGGACGCCGCGACGGGCGACGGGAGGGGACAGCGCGCGGGCCCCCGGGGCGCCGCGACGGGCAACGGGAGGGGGGACGGCGCGCGGGCCCCTGGGGTGCCGTGATGGGCGACGAAACCGCCGCGCTCGCCCGGGGCGCGCGGCGGGCAGGAAACCGCCACGCGCCCCGAGCGCGTGGCGGGCAGAAAACCGCCGCGCACCCCGAGCGCGCAGCGGGAAGAAAAAACGCCGCATGCGCCGGGCGCGCGGTAGGCAGAAAACGTCGCGCGCCCCGGGCGCGCGACAGGCAGGACAGCAGCGGAAGCAGGTGGGCCCACAGGCCAGGAGCGTTCTCGCTCTGATAGCATGTCGAGAAACGCTAGCATAAAGTTAGAAACAAAAAGAGGGGTTGCACTAGCAGCAGATATGATACATATGGCAAACCCTAATTTGGGCTGTACTCACT